CGTCACTGGCGTGACCGTGACAGCGAATCACGGTGGTAAGTAAAATGCCACGGAGTGACTGCTGGAGCGGGTACTTTTATCATAGTTTGATTAAGAGATGCACTTGCGTGAAAGTGCCCCATGCACGCTAAATGTATTTGCACGTTTTTGTGCAAACATTCGTGCCAAGGTAAACGTTTGTGCGCCAAAGTGCACGACTTCGAACAAATGAGAGTGTTTAAATTAACGCACAAATGTGTGCCAAAAAATTGACCGCTTTAAATAGTGCAAATAGAAGCTACAGATCCCGTTAACGTGTGTGTTTTCAAGACGAGTATTTTACTCACTGCTCCTCTCATTGTCTTCGTGCCCTTATTGAAGTGGATGGAAACCCATTGAGATGTAACTAATTAAACTTACTCTATACCTTTTCTTCTGAAACAATGTGCAGCGCGGGGCTCGTCTTTCAACGCAAACCGCACGGTACGACGCGGTTGTACCGAGTGCACCAAAGCGTAAGGTCGCGCACTGTAATGGTTTCTCAGTGTCAGGACCACGACACAACGGTATGATGGTCTGCCAACGCTCCACCCGAAAGGCACCCAAGATATGCAATCCCGCAGCTCTGTTGTGTCGTTTTCCCTTGCACGTGTCATGATCGACGCACCTTTCCCCCTCCCACACCGTACTCACGTTAGGCTGTTTCAAAAACAAATCAGTATGGTGGAACGCATTTTAAATTAAAATGTAGTCAATTCTACGGATAGTAGTCGTTGTCGGAGGGTTTTACGACCCCCGGAACCATACGCGCCTCGCGGTCAAAGCTTCTCATCGCTTTTGGTGCGGGTACCACGAGTGTCGTGGTTCAAGCCGCGCTGCGGCGAAACGGTGCCACCTATAGGACCGCGCCCGTTTCAGTGGAGACTACCTAGGGAATGTACATCACATCCGACGTGGTTGCGACCGCGCGCACCACCCCGTTCAGAACGTAGGGCGTAAGTACTCAGAATCTAGGTACTTCGCTCTAGAACGAGTACCGTTCAATTTTTTCGGTCGGGGTTTGCGCCGGAATGTAGCTTGGACCCATAGCTTTCGAATCGCACTTCGACCGTCCATACCATTTTATTGCATCACCCCCATAGAGCTACTGAACCGGTACGTCGTAGGTGGCACCGTTTCGAAAAATTTTGGGGGAGATTTTACAGAAAAAGTCTAGGTATACTGGTTGCCAAGTGAAAGTCTGGTAAAATTACCACTGCTTATAAAATTACAGAACACTTGTAAAAATAACTCAACAAAATTTCTGTAAAACTGAT